TATATATATATAATCTTAATATCTGTTATTTTATCAGATGTATTAGTAAGAAACTGCTTTTTGTTGACAAAGAGACAAGATATCAAATAGTACAATCCTTTAGTTACAAAGTTTTTACTATTTGAAATTATATAATAGATACATGATGTGAAATGAAATAATGCTATGAATACTTATTGTCAGATAAAAAAGATCAAAGTTTTTAACATAATAAAGTTTGTTCTCTAATTCTCTTAAGTAACCTAAGATTTACGCAATGATCTTATTAATACATAAAATTTATATAAACAATTGGAATTAATATGCCATGTAAATATTTCAATAATATAATTGAAAAAAGCATAACAATAAACTTATATGAAAACATGTAACAAACTTTATTTTGCCGAGTAAATGATTCTATTAGACTAAATTCTCTGAGTGAATTAATACTTGATAGCACTTTTCTCGGTTAAAAAATCTATTTATATTTATAAACTAAACAAGTTTATTTATATAAAAATCTATTTATATTTATAAACTAAAAAGACATATATACTACCTATTTAAAAAATATTCTAGACTATCCCAGCTCTTATAACATAAAATAATGTAAAATAAAATATTCACTGAGATAAAAGTATGCAGCAGCATTCACAAAAATGTCTTTTTAGCATCTTTCGAAAAATGCTTGGTCAGCATTAGATATTAAAATTATCAAAAAGCTTTGTCATCTCTTGGAGTATTTCAATGCAATACAGTTAATTCGTAACATTCACTCACATATGAGAAAAGATCCTGTGCACCAATAGCACCCTATAAATCTATGGAACACCAAGAGAGAACACTGAGAGATTTGTCAAGCGTAGATCTCATAGAATCTTTGCGGAATCAAACCTGTTTCGAGAATCACATAGTCTACAGAGACAAACGCACTTACAACTCTTTGCTCAACAGAGTATCCTCTCACAGCTTTCTATCAAAAACTGATTGATTACACTGTTCGTTGAACAACTGATTCAGTCCAAGGATACGACATCGTACACGTGAATTGTATAATCGAAACATTCCGTTCGCATATCGACACGCATAATCCAGGGAAACCCACGGTGACGATGGTGAGTAGCTGTCAAATGTAATCAGGAAACAAAAACGGGAGATAAGAAAATAGGCCAGAATGTTTGTTTACGTACTTATATATACACGATGAGTCTCCGATACTTCATCATCGTTCCCTATCACCGCCGTCGTAGATGCGTCCCGATGTTCTTCTCACCCTCTTTCTCGCTTTACTTTATTTCTCAATCAACCGCTTGATCGGCAATCACGCGCGCGCGACAGACGCCATGGCCGGTGTAGCTCGCGTCTGATCCTCAGACGCCGAGTGATCTCGTAACCGAGCGATGTCACGGCGTCGTCGTTCCCTCGCGTGCAACGAGCTCGGTCGCACGACCGGGTCGCGCTTCCATGCCAGCCTGCGAGGCAGGGGGAGGAGGAGGTGAGGACCCCCGTCCGCGTCGCGCCGTACCGCACCTCACCACGCCGTGTCGCGCCGCAAGTCCTCGCGCGCAACCACACTTAGGTTAATGCCGAGTATCACGGAGTATCGCGCACTGCTCCCGAGGGCCCGATCCTCACGAGAGCACCCCGCGCGAAGCGTCGACGGCACCCCGTGGCATTTTTTCTTCCTCTCTTACCCTCACGCGTTCCTGCCCGACAGCGTACTCCGCTCGGCGAACGCCATCTTGGCTGCACCACCGTCGTTGCACATCCGCCACGAGCCCACGAATAAGCGCGCGAATAATGGTCCGCGGGAATGCTGGTCCAGGAACTAGACGGGTGTCTAGATGCGGTTTCGTCGGACAACGTCGTCGAGCGCGATTGATCTGACTGTTAGCCAAATATAAAAATTCTAAACTTTCTACGACGGTGCATTTTACATCTCGAAATATGTTCCTTCCAAGGATTAATGGAAGATTTATTATTGCTAGACGACATTTTCAAATACAGCCTCTCAAGTTACGCTCGAGACCATGATTTATGGTCATTTACCATAAAATCACAAGGGCGCAAACAGTGTGGAACTTTCTAATCTTTCTTTTTCGTTCATTCTCGATGGTCTCCCATCATTGAAAACCGCGCGTTTTTAAATATTTGATTAAAACAATCATTCATTTGTGCATGCTATTTTTGTTATGCATTTTTATATCAATATTAAAGTATTCTATCGGGAAGACAGTTTATATGGTCAATATATTAAAGATTTTTATTGAGAGAAAAGAAGATCCTTTTTCCTTCTGTTAATTAAAATATAATTCATAATTCTTACTAGAAATTAAACGTTGCTCTATTATTGTTTATTTTACGTAACTTGAATCATTTTTGCTAAAAATGGAAAGAAAAAATTTCAATGAAAGTTATCCTAAAAGTTCAGAAAATCCTAAAAGTTCCTATTCATGAAAATTGGAAAAAAAATATAGAATATATTTATATCTTGTATATTTGTATATCTCTCTCAATATTTTCTTATATAATAAGGTGTTTATATATATATATATATATATACACATAATGTATAATTACCCGTCTGGGCTGTCTAGGATAATCAATAACTAGTGTGTAAAGATTCAAAAAAGTATTCTTATACTAAGTCGCCAACAAACGGTTCGCAAGATTTCTATCTTTTATCTATAAAGTGTGCAATGATATACGACTCTGTATCGTACATTATAAAAATCACATATATATACACATAATGTATAATATTACAAATATATTATAGCGAATTGTATTAAAATAACTATATTAAAATAATTGACACATACATTACAGTCACAAACACACGTATATTATATAATCATGTGTCCAAAAATATTTATATTCTGTGTGACATAATAAGGTTTTATCTAAACATTTTATATCATAAAGATTACATACCTAACATTATTATTAAGTGCTAAATGTGACTAAATGTGTATATATGTGTAACAGATCTCGTATTTTCATATAGAAGATCAAGACCATCTTTTATTATAACAATATTGTGCATACATTTATAATATAAATAAATGATACATTGTTTTACAATCGAACAAAGCAACATTTAGCGCAGTATTAAAGAATATATATCTTTCTTTATAAAACATAGCTTATATTTGAAAGATAGTGAGTAAAAATCTTAAAAATGTGACACTAGAATTTTATCACCTATAACATATATGTAGAAATCTTCTATCTTTAATTTGCATTTTCACAAGCATCAATCCAATCATTATATACATCTAAAGGTTCCGATAATAAATTTATTGTTGTTTGAAAGTCTTCCAAGCACACCCTGCAAGTTATTCTGGCAGTACTTCTCGACTTGTCCCTGAAATCATAAAGAGAGCATTGGTTAGTAGAAAGCATTGTTGTAGTAGAAGCATTGTTAGTAGAAAGATATTAATTTAAGTTTATCGATAAATTTATTATTGCTTTATCAAATTACTAATGAATCAATCTAAGATTCATGTAATTAAAGTGAACAAAGTCAACACGATTCTCTCTCTAGGAGTTAAATCGACACTACTTTATAAGCTTATTGAGAATATCAAGAAAGTTTAGTCGATCATAAATTTAATCAAGTGCTACTTTAAAACGTAACATTTGTGTGATGTCATTTCGACATGCTCATATACATACTCGTGAGTTTTCCACATACTCACATCTTAACTTCGCATGACTTCTCGTGATTGCAAAACGGGCAATTAAATTGTGTGTCCAACGGTTGAATAGCTTTCTTCTTGCTGGGTGGTTTTCGTTTGCTCTTGCGTCGACCCATCTTGTCTCAATCGAAAATTATACGTATTTCGATCGTATGAAATATCGGTTTATCGATATTGCCAATCTTTTCGTTTTTTTTTTTTTTTATTTATAAGAGGGTATTTACACTTTCACTTCCTATTTCCCTTTACTTGGGTACCAATAACTTTATGTGTTATCATATGATTTCTGTTTCTGAGACAATCTTTTCGTTGTATTTTAGTAGGTTATGTTTAGGACGCGAACCGCCTTGTTAGGTTAGGTCGATTACATTTTTCGCGTACGAGCATCGAACGCGATATCAATATTAAATATTAAGTTCATCATTGCATTATAAGAGTTCCGTGTATATTCTCCGTAATATTATTTAATTTTTTCAACATCTTTCTTGATCTATTCTGTTCGTTGCTTCAAGATTTTAGTGCCTAGTATTTCGTATGTATGTAATACAAATATACATATGTCTTACACTTGCTGTCACTGCTCACTGCACCTGCACACTTGCAGCTGCACCAGTGTTGTGAGATGGGCCGGGTTTTCTCGCGCATGCGCGGCCATGACAACAATTAGCAACGACGTATCTATCTGCAGTAATAACAAGGTTATGCTGTGGGCGCGAAAGTTTTATTTTGTTTTGTTATTATATATTTTGTGCTTTAAATTATTTTAACATCCTTCCCTCTTTCAGTTTATCTCTTTCATCACACAGGTAAACACACATGTGATATCTTTGTAATTTAAGGAAAAGTATTAAATATATATACATATATACACAATTATATATGTATAAAAAGATGTATTGATCGTCTGTATACAATTTCACATAAATTTTTGTAATTTAAGGAAAAATATGTAATATATAATATATATACTTCATTGATGCTACGTTCGCCGCGCATGCGCGAGAAAACCCGGCCCGTCTCACAACACTGAGCTGCATGCGTGCACGCCAGCACGCCACCGTTTTTCGAAGGACGCTTTTTCTACTGGTACAGTAGCGTCAACTGGATCCATTTTAGAGTCGGCGAAAAGCAGAACTACATAGCCAGATTCTCTTTTCGGTGCCACGGTAAAACGGCCGGTTGGTGCGTGTCCGTGCTAAATCCATAATTGTGGATCAAAAATGCAGAGAAATATTATAGATTTATTAATATTTTATTAGCTGCGTGTGATGTTTTGTCATTCTAGTATAAATTACGGAAAGCGATAATAAATTATTATAAAAATATTTTTATGTATATATTGTGAAATGAAATAAATTTTCTTCAATCAAAATTCTCTTAATAATTGTCCTAATTTTTAAATATAACACGTAGAAGATATTTACAATAAATTGCTTTTACTGTTTTCTTATTCTTGAAACAAAATTATCAAGCATTTTAAGCAATATCAAAAATTATGCTTTTAATTTATATACATTAGCTTTTTATAATTATTAATTTATTTATTATTAATTATATTATTTAATTAATTTTTTAATTTATAAATTCAGTTGGATGCAATGTTCGTTGCTTCAAGATTTTAGTGCCTAATATTTCGTATGTATGTAATACAAATATACATATGTCATACACTTGCTGTCACTGCTCACTGCACCTGCACACTTGCAGCTGCACAGTTGGATGCATAGTGCGCACTGATGCACATTAAAAATGATTATATATCTCTATCTCTCTCATCATACGACTTTTCAATTATTTAAATATAATTTGGATTAAAAACGCGCAATTGAACAATCGAATCGCAGGATCGAGTAATTAGCATTACGGGCTTCATGATACATTAATCGTTTAATAAATAATTAATTTACAATTTAAAATATTTTTATACGTTAATGTCCGCGTATACATATATGATATATAATACGTAAAATATTACGGCAATGAATTATCAATATAATTCATTGGTATTTGGCCTTGACGGCGTATTGCGCTCTATTGTTTACATTTTACATATTATACAGTCTTGTTTTTTAAACGCGATCGCGACAGTGTATCGAGAAATAATTTAATATAATTAATAATTAGTTATCTTTTAGATATCTTAAATAATACTGTAATTATATGGCAACGATAGGTCTTAAAGCACGTATTTCGCGTGATGTATACATTTAATTAAGAACTGACAGAAATCAAAATTATAAATTATTGTTTTGTTGCGATATCTCTCTCTCTCTCTCTCTCTCTCTCTCTCTCTTTCTTTTGATTAACAATAATTATGTCTTTATAAAAATTTTTAATATATTTTTAATTTGAAGATATTTCGGTAACGAAATATCAACAACCATGTAGTGTTTAGCCTTGGTGACTTTTATTGTTTGTTTACGTGTTACGGCCTTTTTATTATTCGCACGGCGACATTCGAGCAATAAAGTAATAATGCGAAACGCTTCGTACACATTATCTAATTCTTTCTCTAAACGCGATCGCGACTAGTTTCGAAATATAATTTACTATAATTATTACAATTAACGATTAATAACTTTTCATAAACAACATAAAATTGTATTTTTATGTCGTTTATCAAAAGACTATAAAAATCTGTATCAAAGCGCAATCATTCATTATGGCAAGTAAAGATCGAAGCAACGGGGATAAAAATTATAATATTATTTTGTTACAATTTTTCGATTATTGATTTTTATTTTAGACAATAATTATTTCTCTAACAATTTTATAGATTCAAATATATTTTGTCCAATGCTTTAAATTTTCTTAAAATGCTATATATAATAATGCTGCATAAATAAATTATTAATTAAACGAATGCTAAGTCGACTTTTTATTATTATTATAATCTATCGATCTTACGATTCGTGTTATGGATATATTACAAATATTTTAACAATAAAGAGAGATAATTTATTATCGCTGTCTGTAGTTTATATTAGAATGACAAAACTTTACATGCAGCTAATAAAATATTAATAAATCTATAATATTTCATTGCAATTTTGATCCAGAATTATATGGATTTAGCATGGATATACGTCAACCGGCCGTTTTACCGTGGTACCGAAAAATGAATCTGGCTATGTAGTTCTGCCGGCTCTAAAATGGATCTAGTTGGCGCTACTGTATCAGCTAGAAAAATTTTTCTTACGAAAAATGGCGGCGTGAAATTTGACCAATCAGGATAAAAGGAACTAAAATTTCTTTGTCCTGATTGGTTAAATTTCAATCTCAATACATAGTCTGATACGGGCTTTAAGCCCGTGTCACACTACGCATTGCGGACTCGGATCGGATTCGCAGTCCGTAATCCAAATCCGATCCGCGTCCGCAATGCGTAGTGTGACACGGGCTTTAGGCTTCTCTCTGCTAATCTAATACGTTGACGTTTCTATTCGATACTGCGTCCCGCCAGTACATACTTTGAGAATTTCTCATTATTCATTAAACATTATTAAACATTTTGAAATCAAAATACAAAAAATAAGGCTTTTTCTATAGCTTAGAACCTTTCCTTATTGTTACACGACTACATAAGTAAGTTTTATATACAATTTTGTAACGAAAAAATATTTTAATTGATAATACTAATCTAATCGATAAATATTTATTATTATACAATAAAACTATGTGATGTGACTATAAATTAATTTTTTTCAGAAAAAGAAATGTTGCTTATATTTTTATAACTATAAAACATCAGTTCAGTTGCTTTAAATTAATTATTAATAATGGTGACGATACATAGCTATTATAATTATGAAGAAATCTTGGAAAGGCATCCTGAAATGGTATTAGTATCAGAATCACCTGTCACTTGGCATGGCTTTTTAATTATCTCGCGTTCATTATGCGCTGCATATGATTTTCAAAGTCCCAGAGTAAGATTAAAATTGATCATGCCTGTTTATCCGTCATTTGAAAGTGCACATGTCAAGTTTGGTAGACAAATAGCTTCTCTGCGAAATACAGAATTCCACAAAAGGGTGAAAGAATTAATAAAGGCCGCATTCAAAACTGAACAAACAGTGTCTTCATTTTTAACACAGTTACAATCACTTATTGTAAGTATAGAATATTAGAGTTTATTTCCCTTTAACAATTCTATTATTATTATATATTATTTGCAAACAGGGAGAATATATGTGCAATACTACAGATACTAAAATTCTCATATCTAATCTTGACACTATGAAGTATTTTCTGCAAGAATTAGAAGCAGCTCTTCATTATTTACCTGTATGTAGGTCTATATAAGATATATTTTTTATTTTCCTGTAAATTCTCATATGGTTTTAGTGTTAAAGATAAAATATTTATGTTAAAGGATATACTGATATCATCTGATCAAAATTTAAATATCATTAAATTACACTACAGAGATGTATCTATTACATTGCAAAGGTGTAACAATACTGAACTTCCTTGGAAAGTTATTGCTTCTGATTTGCCCAATATTCCAATATTTGAAGGTTTTGAAAAGAATGTGACCAATTTGAGTGTTGCAAAGACTAAGTTTCAATGGCAAGTGAAAATATTGAAAAAAGCATGGGAACAATTAGAAGAAATTGATGAGTGAGTAACTTATTTACTCACTCATTAATACATTACAAGAAAATATATTTGTTAACTTCTAAAACTTTTCTGAAAACAATACCATTTTTTTTATTATTCCTTTATTGAAATAATATCAAATCATTAATTATTGCATTAAATGTACTAATATGAAATATTATAAGGAATTGCTGGGTAACTGATCCATTAAAACCAAACAAGAGCCACATGTACAGGCGTATTCATTTATCTCAGTCTTTATCTGTGATAATTAGAATAGAGGATCCATTGAATCCTGTTGCTTTGCCATCAATTCAATTCTTAGGCAGTGACAATGAAGCGAAACGGCAAAGGGATGATATTAGCAATAAAATTGATGTACGTTTTATATATATGCATAATGTAGGATATAACTGCAATTTATTAGCAATTTGATTTATATTAATATATTGGTTTTACAGAAGTGGGATCATGATTGCAGTATTTTAGAAAACCTAAAAATGCTATTAAATATGTATGAATTTCCCGAACAACAAGAAAGTATGGAAGAGAAGAAAGCCATTATCAGTAACCGTGAATGCGGTATATGTTTTTCAGATGAATTACCAGACAAGATATGCAATAATGAAAAATGCATGAGACATTTTCATTCAGCATGTTTATCGAGGGTATGTGTAATTAGAATATATGTTAATAACAAATATATTTCATTTGTATAATATATATGTTATTATATAATCTTTAATAATATCAACAAATATAAATATATATATATTTTTTTTTACACAATAGTGGTTACAAACAATAACTGGGAATCAAATTGTGTTTGGCCATATTTATGGTACTTGTCCATATTGCAAGGAGAAGATTGCCTGTTCCATTGAACAATGAAGGTAGATATTAAATTTTCCTAAAGCATTTATATTTTTATTCAAATATGTATGTATATGCATAATTCATTTCTTGGAGCCATTCTTTCATGGAACGATTAAATTCTAAAGTTCCACATATCAAAATTAATGTTGTCTCTGTATCATTACATTGGAGATAATCAGCAACAAGCGATTTGCTCAAACGGTTTGTTTTGATATTAAAACCATGAAGACTTACTGTCTTATCTGAAAAAATTATTTAGAAAAAGTACTTTTTTGTTTAATTACTCGTATATCTTATAAATTATGTATATCTTTATTTCAATTGTTTAAACAAATGTGTGTTTAAACGAATCATCAATATTTATGCTGTTTCATATTAAATTGTGAAAGAATCGAAAATGTATGATAATTATGGAACTATGTATGCAAATTTATTATGAGTTCACTTGCTATATCGTGCCTTAATCACATACCATTTAATTGGGATAGCTGTAATGTGCATTTAAAATTCCAATAATCTGTTAGATGTCTTAATTCTTTTTTCAAAGGCACATGTGTCATCGATTGAAATCCTGCGACAAGATGTATCCTCGTCAATTCTCTTTCGTCATCAACGATCGATCTTGCAATGGGATAAAGTGCCGCTATTCCCGAACCGATACTAAACATAACGATCTGTCGGAAACTATCATAAAAATGCGTTGAGCCATGAGAAAAATAATTTTTAAATTATCTGCACAAATATTCACGCACCTGTTACTTTTATATTTGAAATCCCCATATGGGCCTCTAATATCAATTGCACTACCAATTGATGCATTTTTTAGACGCGAACTAAATTCACCCTGCTTATATAATTTCACTAATAAAACTAAACTATTGCATGTCCAAGAAATTGGTGTATATGGACGAGATTTACACCAGGAATGTAGAATAACATGTTGTCCAGGTTCAAGATGCAAACCAACATTTTCTATTTTGCATTCTACATAATAAGTAAAAATACTTTTTTATATGAGATAATGCATTCATGTTAATAATAGAGTCTGTTGAAATTTACGATTTTTTTGCATGCAATTGAATAATAGTAGTAACTTTATATAGATTTAGTAATATGACTCACATTCATTCTTTTATATAATTTTTTATATAATATATTTTATATAATTTATTACATTTTTATTATTGATTCGATAAGACAGTAATACCTGGGTATTTCAAGTGAACCAAAAAATAATCCTCTGAGGTTTCAAATACATCAGTGATAATAAATACTTTATAAGACAGAAGAGATAATAAATTGTTATTTGTTTCAACTTTTACATTTTGTGTCTTTTTACTTTTCCATTCTTTCAGTAATGTTTTATGAACATCAAAAACACATGGTGTACATCCACTGCCACAACAATCTTCGTTCATTGGAGTTTTAGGTCTATCATCATCATCATCGTTATAATCATTACAATTGTTCAAACTCATTTTGTGTAAATATTTTATAGTATTATTAACATAATATTTATTTTAAAGAACTTCAAAGCATAAATACAAATTAGTTAGCCAAACTTTATTTATTATTTATAATTAAATATGTAATTAAATAATAAATATAAAAAAACATCTGGTATATTAAGTTATATTATTGTAAAATACAATTTCATTTAGACATTCACAAACAGATTTTTATACAATAAGATATGTTAATTTTATCCATCTCTAAAATAAAAAGATATATGTAACAATATGTAATGTCTTTTATAACAAACATATTATGGCTGCGTTCCGATATTCACTGCCAGTACTGAAAATCTATAGTTTACGTCACGTACACTATATATTTTCAGTGCTAGCAGTCGGAACGCAGTCTATATTGGTCGATTTGTTTATATATATCAAGATGCGTTCGAAAATCTTACCTGTGGAGTAGAATCCAATTGACCTATCGGGACAAAGAAATCTTTTGGACGTCTTGATTGCTCAATTCTATGCACTAAAAATTTTGAACGCTCCCTTATTATGCAAAGTCATCTGCACAAGAAATACATATCGTAACTTGAAAAGATCTCCAACTATTCTAAGTATTTTTCAAGCGTGATGACACACATATCATGTGTGCATACATTTTACTGATAAACTTGTCAACTGTGAACTTTGAACAATATCAGAAAAAATATACCACGTCATTATATATGTATATATGTTGATATTTTGAATATAAGAATTTTGAAGAAACAGATGTAAGATTCGAGCAATGGCACCAGCAAGAAGTCATGTTATCAATAGCAATCAGCTTAGAAACTCTTCTAGCATTTCGTCCAAGTGAGATCTGTTATCGATCTTTATTATATATTAATGTATATTAATCGACTAACTTTTGGATATGTACATTTATGGGATCACATTAGCCTTTAAAGGGATATTTTTTTCGATTGTCTTGTATGATAAGTTGTGTATCGTGTAGATCTCATCATCAATGGTATTTTCAATAATATTGTTTATTAATGTATACTAATCGACTAACTCTTGGATATGTATATTTATGGCATCACATTAGTCTTTCAAGGAATATTTTTTTTGATTGACTTGTATGATAAGTTAACTGTCAAAATAGTTTCTCCTTTTTTAATTTTTTTTTCACAAGTGGAAAAATTAGAGAATAAACAGTCTAAACATTCAACTATTTCCAACTGATTTTTATAATCACTTTTAATATCTATATTGAAATTTTTGTTCTGTTTTTACTCATGATTGGAATATATGATATATATACAATTTTTTCTTTTATCCAGATCATTATAAATTGATCAGATTGATTGATTTCTATTTTAATAATATTGAAACAAATGATATAAATTATAACAATTAAATGGCAAAAATGTATCAAAACAAATAATAACAATAAAAATCTTAAATTTTTTCAGTATGCCAGGACCACATTCACCCTTTCAAACTATTGGAGCAGCTGTTCCACCTCCATTGCCACCTCGTCAACCTGTTCAAAACTATGTAGGATACAATGATTATAGACCATATGGTTCAAGTTATTATGGAAATTATGGATATGGTGGAAGTTATAGAGGCTACGGTGGATATGGCTCTTTTGGAAATTATGTTCCTTATTCTAGTAACAGTTATGGACAATTTGGAGGACACAGTGGTGATGTAGAAAATAGGTATATTATAAAAAAGACTATATTTATAAATATTTAGTTTGTGCTTTAATTATCAAAATATCTAATATAAACAAAGACAGATTATAAGATTTTTTTATTCAAAAAGACCAAGGAATAATAAAAATTATTTTATGATATCTAGTATTGTGATCCTATAGAGTAATGTAACATTTACTTGATTGATTTTACTAGCAATCTATACTTATAAAATTGTAGAAGAATACAGACTGGCTAAGATAATACATCTAATATTATAGACTAGATTGTCAATGTATTTCTCAAGTATTATAGAGTCTTAAATTTTTGCTTAGAAAAAATACCTCCAAATTTGTCCAACATTTTTTAGCTAAGAGAGAATTGTTTCTGTATGTAATATGCTACAGATTTCAAGTGTACGCAGAAGAAAATACGAGGTCGATTTTCCGTGTAGTGGAGACAATATTACACACATTTTCATCTATCACAATGTTATTGGAGTCTACATACTTTGCCTTGACAAATTCCTTGAGAGCGATTTTGAGCGTGGCAGATAATATCAACAGACTACGTTCAACACTTGGACAGCTACTGAGTACATTTGCTTTAATCCGAGTCATGAAATGGATTTATAAAAAAATTTTATTTATGCTTGGTGAGCTTATTATGCAATTGAAACTCTTACTTCTATAATTTATTCTATAATCTATGTTTTCCCACACATAATCTATATAATTGGTATTTTAATTAATTAATTATTTTTTTATTTTTAGGTCTTCGAAATATGCAGAATGTTACGACAGAAGATTTGTGGCAACAATCAATGTTACAAACGACAAACGGAGAACATACAGTAATGACTAACGGACAGATTTCTTCATGGATGAACATTTTGTTTCTTGGTATATTTGTCGCTATTCCATATTTAATTCACAAAATATTAAATAATATAAGGCAGACTGAAATAAAAGGTAATTATCTTTTTTTATTGCATCTCTATATGAAATTAATAAACGAATATATATTTTTTCATATAATAATTCAGATAAAGATCTGTATCTAATCTCTCTCATTACTAAACTCTTGTATTTGGAAAAATCGTAACCATATCAAATTTTCTACCTCATATATATATATATATGACATTTTCTAAAATATCAAAATTATTAAATTTGTTCTCTATTGATTTCTGATATTTTTAAGAGATACGCTTTAGTATTTTAATATTCTTGATAAATATACAAATATTATATCGGCAAATTTACAGTTAATGATCCAAAAGAATGGGTTAAGTGCGAAGATCCTATATGCGTGGCGACTGCAATGTACGATTTCACGGCGATATCTAACGAAGAATTGAGTCTCAGGAACGGTCAAAAAATATGGTTGGCGCCACGATCCTTGCAGTCAAAAAGTATACCAGGTTGGTGGATAGCCACTGACAATAGAAATGTCGGTTTAGTGCCTGCCAACTATGTAACTATAGTGGGACAGTTAAAGAAAAAGTCAGAATCAGAAAGTAATGGAAATACCACCGCGTCTACGCTAATTCCAACTTCTATGCAAAATGTAATAGCTTCTAATGAACAGGCAGAAACGACGAGTGTAAATACGCTAGAACACACAACACACACACCTACCACCAGCCAACAAAGTACTGATTTCTCTGAAACTAATATTAAAAATGACTTACTTTAGTTCAAATATATTGGGGGATTTAATTTAAATCTATCAGTTTCGATAGTCGAAGCTTGTTACACAATCTTAAGTATATATGTGGCCTATATCTTTATAAAAAGAACATGACTGATATTCTTAAAAATAATATACATAATATATATATCTTGAATAATATGTATGTGTATTAAACATGCGCCATATATATTTACTGGGTATTAAGTAAGGCAATGAGCTCTATTTCAATATAAGGATTGAAAAACATTATAGAAGTCCATTTGTTGAGATTTTTAATGAAAATGTCTATTGAAGAGCTTACTGTAAAAAAAGAATACCACAAGTTTCACTATCTTTAAAAAATTTATAGTAATATTATATTTTATATTTTAAGTTACAGCAGGGGTAGTTTGTAATATGTGTGGGTGCACCAAGGAGACTAAAATTCGTTAAATATTTAATTAAAGAAAAAAAGACAAAGGGCAGATGCGAATCATACAAATGTACATATAAATGATTCAATATTTATAATTAATTTTTATGAAGGCGACATTTCAATATCAGATTATACATTTAGTGATAACAATAGTACTCAATAAATGTTTGAATATTATATAAAACTAAATTTTTTCTCTGATATATAAGAAGCATGGTTTTTCGTCAATTATTATTAATTATATAATTTGATTGCTTTATATTTGTAGAAAATGAAGAGTCGTTAAATTGCACGTTCAGTAGGCCTATTTTCAAACTTCGTAACGATGTTGTTATCGTTAAAAATTACAGAATAGCAGTACTGAAATCGCTTTATAAATAAATGAATATTTAGAGTATATCACAATCTCGTATCATAAAATATTCAAACATAGATCAATACAATCGTGTTTTATACCTGAAGATCAGCATAAAATTAATTGCAATATTATACCAAAAAGATTTTAAATATAAGACTCTATAAGCTCAAAATTATAGAATCTCCACACGGAAAAAAAAAACTTAATATGAAAAAAATCATCACCAATTACAGGGTTCTGAACTTACATGCTCTGATATATATATATATATATATATATATATGTATGTATATATTTAAAAAATTCTAGATTCAAAAATTATCTATTTAAAAATATATACATAAACGTGTATGTAATTTTTATTTAACATTGACTTCAATATGATAGAAGATTAAATTGTTTTAATTAATAAATTATTAGAGTGCATTCTCTCAGCTATCAAATTAAAAAAACTACTCAAAATATCCTAAAGACGCGGTTATTCGTTTATCATATTATGATGTGTAATAATAGTATACTTTGTAATACTAGTATACTTGTAATATTGTATGCAATTACAATTTTGTACTGTTTTGTAATATTTTAATTACGATTACACTTTCCTACTAGCTGTGTTTAGTTGCACATACATTTATAATGGGAATAAAAAAGAAAATTGTATATATATATATATATATACAGTTTGTAGATACTTATTCTTACAAACATATAATATTGGAATGTAAAATGATAAATTCGTGAGATTTGGCAATGTTGATTTAATATCTTTTAACATCGAGAATGTTTCTCTTTATTTTAGATAAAAAATTATATTTGTTAAAAATTAAACATTATTTATATTTATGCAAAATTGATATTTTAAGCTCGAAAGTTTCACTGATGAAAGGTAATCTCGTGAACCCAAAAATTCTGATTTTGATGAAACTTTACGGACATGTAGGACGGGGGGGTGGTCAATAGATGAATTTTCAGTTGCGATCCAAAAACAGTTCTAAGGGATGAAAGCACCCCTTATATGTAGAACAACTTTTTGCTTTTCTCGATATATCTCGCAGACTATTCGAGATATTAAAAAATGTTTCATACAAAAGTTTCATGGTAAAAACAACTCTATTTAACCACATTAATAAAATTTGAAAAAATAATTTTCTAAAAAAAATTTCAAAATCTTTTTAAAAAATAATATGGTTAAATAGAGCTGTTTTTACCATAAAACTTTTGTATAAAACATTTTTTGATATCTCGAATAGTTTTCGAGATATATTGAGAAAAGTAAAAAGTCACTGTACATATGAGAGGTGCTTTCACCTTTTAGAACCGTTTTTGGGCCGCAATTAAAAATTTCTAAATTCATTTATTGCCCCCCTCCACCCCACATATCTGTAGTTTTATTAAAATCAGAATTTTCGGATTCGCGAGGTTCTCTAGTGAGTTGATGCATTATACTTACATTTATGATTTATTTAGAGAGTACTGCATTAAAATCTGTAAAGAAATGTTATAGTTAAATATAAAATATGTTTTACAATTAAATTGTTTATCAATGTATTTTTTAGAACTAGAAAAAAAGAGAGAAACTGTCTGTGAAATAAAATGAATCCTATGCAATTAGAAACAATTACACAAACAGATACATGTACGTATTGAGATTTAGACAATTACATTTAATGCAAAATATGGGGCAAAATGAAGGATATAAATATGAATGCTCATCATTCAGAAGATTATAATTGTCGAAAAATTTTTAAGCTAAAATGCAGTAAATTATGTATGTACATATCATATGTCATATACATACACATTCTTATTCATCAAGAATAGTTTTCTTATTAAACATTTATTCTGTAAAGAAGTTTTATTTATAAGTTAAACTCGAAATATATATATAAGGCATACGACGAACAATATAACGCAGATACCGTAATATTTTGCACAGACAGCACCTGTAATTATATTCTATAAGATATTTTATAAGATTCTATGATATTAACCAAAATCTTCATAAAATACATACTTCTTTTTGGTAACGTTAAAAATTTGGCCAATTCTTTACGATACATTATCCAAGTTTTAAAATATGCCAAATATTTGTAACATTCTTGGTAAAATGATATGATACAATATAAAAATTGCACACTGTTTTGGCATATTTGTAATCACATTGTGAGTTTATATCATAGAAATTTCTTTTATATCATTGTTCTTCGATTAAATAATTATCTTAAACTAATTAAACATTAATTGTAACGACAAAAAAAAAAGAAAGGAGAGATATCTTAAATTGCATCTCTACATTATAAATTATAATTTAAAAATAATCTATAAACATTCGCGATATATTGATTTTTGCTTAAATATTATTATGTGTACAACATAAAGTTTGCTAAGTCACGAGTCTTATAATATCTTTGACTGAGGCAAGTTTGAATCGATTTGGAAGCCATTAAACTTAATTTTTACAAATATATGTTAACTCGAGAAAGATATTTCTCATTTAAATATTTGATCTAACAATAAATTGCCACATCACAAATATTAAGCAATTACTTTTTAAAGTCAAATCAAATAGAAAAGTTGATAAAAATTGTAGCTTCCAGAACAATTTAAACTTTTCAAGTGGTATGCCCAATTAATTGCCTAAATGCTAAACTGTCCTTCTTTCCTTCATTAATAAATGATCTTGTTAATGTGCTTGCAACAAGATTTTATATATATGTAACAGACACGTTTATTATTTCAAAGCATCACATATGAGCCATAGTTTTGCAATTTTTTAAGACTTGAACTCAAACACATATAGTATATCATTCTGTTTCCAGATTGAAAGGAAAGAGATGAATGTAAATTTTACCTCAACTTTACCCATCATTCCATATGAAAAAGTTCATAATCAAGAATTTCAAAAAACACACACACACACATACATGGTACAAATTCACAATTCATCATCTTCATAATCATTGTTCGTGATGTAATTACAGAGCCACTAATCGATATGATATTTCGATTAACATATCATGTATTTCTGCTTTAATAAAGTTTACTCATTTGCTAGGGAAAGTTAACCAATTTATAATGGTTCTTTTTTTCTGGAGGAATCGTAACGCAAAAGTAACATATGACTAACAATAGGAGACTTTTATGTAATTTTTTACACTGTATATTCATAATCTGCATTACATGAAAGAATGTATTAAATTTTTATAATCCACTTAACATTGGATTTTGAATTTTCTTTAATAAAAAATTAAAATAAAACAAAAACATTTACTTAAAAATATTCAAGACTGATAATGTTGTGTTATATGCTATATATATTTAGAACATAGGAGAGAGAGAATTTCATAAAAAATGAAACAAAACATTTTCTGTGATAAATTAAGTTTAGGTCAACATGTGAAATTAGCATTGATGCTATTAAATAATGCCATTTTGATAATGTAATAACTTTCTTTCGCCATTGTTCCCCTGTATTGCCATTCCAGTTGCAGCAGCTTTGCACAATCCATACAAGAATCATCTTTTATTAAAGATGAAACATTTCACGTGAACACATCATCAAGTTGCCTTTACATCCCTGAGCTTCCTGTAGGCAACACAATATTCACATCGCACTTAGAATTACCATTCAGCATCTCCGTTTGCCTTTTGAAATACATAGTCTTTCCCACTTAGGTTCATTATGCCATCTTTCAGATAAAACTTCCATTTATTTCGACTCCTTGTAATCTGAAAACAAAAAACATCATATAAAAAAGTTAAAATAATTTATTTAAAATAATATTTGTTTATATACAAGATGTCTGATAATAATCGCCCCACCCGTAATGTGCGGGTAGAGCGGGTTAAACCGAGAAGAAGTCTTCTACCGTTTTGCAATCTTTGCAATAATTAATGAGAAATTAATTAAAAAAGATCGGCCAATTCGCGCGACTATTAGCGCGCGGTGAGAAAGAACGGCCCCATCCTACTTGGTTTAACCCGCTCTACCTGCACATTACGAGTGGCGCGATTATTATCAGACACCCTGTATATATATGCACATATGTGTTACATACATGTTGAAGATAAACATATTACACTTTCATACCTTATCATATTGACAGACTACTACATTGTCTGTATCAAAGAGATCAGTAGGATCGTCATCTGTAACGTCATCTTCGGAATTTAAGGGTTCCTAGAACAAATTCCTCAGAACAATTTCTTTGCAAGACATGTCAGAATTGAAATTTATCTATAAACATTAATTTCTTTACACACACGTACGAATATATGAGCGATTAAGCGCGTGTATGCGTAACCCAAGCGAGCGAATATATAGTAGTTATAAGAATTAGTCAGAGAGTAAGGAACAGATTTAATAGAATTTGAAGAGAATTGTAAAATCAGGAGATTATTTGTAATTTGATAAGGAGCAATAAAATATATATACAACTATTACTATTAACCTCTTCACGAGCTGCAGCTTCATCATTTTCTTCCTCCTCTTTTTCATCAAGATCTTCATCGTCATCATCGTTATCATCTTCTTCCTCTTCATCGTCATCGTCAGTAGAATCACCTACCCCTCCATCTAACTGATTTATATTATTTTGTTGCTAGAAAATTAAAAAATGCATATTACATTTTTTATAGTATATAATTATGTATATTTATCTATTATATATTTTATTTATTGTATAAATCACATTACTTATGCAATCACACTATCTTACTTGATTTTGAGGTGGCCTCTGTGTTGCGACACTATTTGTACTTTGCGTGACCACTTGAAGTGGTTGATTTACTTGTAACGGAGCTAATGTTGCTTGCCCTTGCAATGTAGAATTCACATGTTGTTGCAACAAAGTTGAAGCTAAATTTGCTGGAAGACCCATAGCTGCAGAAATTACGGGACCTGTTAAAATTGTATGTAATTGGTTTCCTGAAAAAAGAAATATGCGATTTTTTTTATTTACATAATTAACACATTATATTTTTTACACGTTAACAAATTTCAGTAATATTAAAAAGATTTATACACATAGAAAAATTACATATAAAAAACTAAAATATATAGGATAATTATGTAATAATTATTAAAATCTAGTTTTTGCCACACAAATTGTTAATGGTAAACTTTCTACTGAAACATAAATATAAGATTTTCACCTTGAAGAGCAGATGCAGGAACTTGTATGCTTAAAATCCGCTGTGGTCCATCCGGAATGCCAGCTTGTGGAGGTAGGGTGATCTGTATGGGCACTTGTCGGTCAAGTACAGCAGCTGGTGCAGTTACCACTTGCTGTACCGGCGTTGTCGAGTGCTGCTGTGGCTGCTGCTGTTGTAACGATGTTCCTGTAGGATGTGTATGTTGTTGTGGTTGGGTCGATTGTTGTTGCTGCTGTGATTGCGCTTGTTGCTGCTGTTGCGATTGTTGAGATTGCGTTTGCGGTACTGCATTTCCAGCAGATGGTTGTACAAAATGATTTCCTATATTAGCTGTTACAACATCAAATTCATATGTAACAACAACATATAGAATGCATTGATCCAATAGCAATGGAGCATCTTGTATAACTTAAGTTGCATTTTTTATTAAATCGCATATCATAATAAAATTTTTTTCGTAACATTTGCTATATTGGTTTCTAGCAGATATATGTACCTTTATTGACAGACACAGCTTTGTGCGTGTTGATTTGAGGAACTTGTGGTTCTGGTGGATCTGGATTTAATTCTACAGCTTTGCTGGCCATCAGTTTTGTTTCCCATATTTGTTTAAGTTCTTGGAGAACCTGTTCATCTACTCCTTCGTCTATGAACGATTCCCGTACTCCTGTTATTACATCTTCTATCACAGTATTATATAATTTCAACTGCAAAACAGAATTTATTCTTATATAATATCTATAATATTGTAAACATATCAAATATACAGATAAAAAATGTCTGACGGTTTCCATGCTGGCTTTAGTATATTCTATTAATTATAATAATAGGAATATATATTATATAATCATGAGTTTACAAATGTATTCTTTCCAAGACAGACATCGAAATTACACATTGGCGGAAAGATTCCAATATTCAAATAAATCAAGCGCGCGCGCATATAAAGACCATTTAATATTGCTTAGATATAGGAAAGAAATATAAATTTAATGTTTAGATTCCAAATAGGGATAGAAATGATGACCTACCCCTTGAAACAACTTCAAACAATATTTGCATGCTTGACAGTCTAGCCGGATGTTGTTATCTTTTCGTTAATGTGCAACTTTCGACGTGCGCAATGTTCAATGTATATAAGGTTAGAAAGTCCGTTTATCAATCTACATCAAGACGCGTTTTCGACAGCCGGAGATCAGTGGACGGACCTCGACTAGTCGAACGAACGCGAACATCGCGCGATGTTCGAACATCAAGGAAAAGTGGAAATGCTCGCTTTTGAGGAAAGCCAGGGTCAAATACATACGGCATTTCACCTACGTGTACATACATTACGTTCGTTCGCTCGTTTACTCACTACGCTTGTCTGGCTGAGAGCCATCGTGACCAGGGATGATCAGGGATACGATCGCTCAACCGAGGAAGTAATATTAATACGACGATCTAAACGACAATCCTCCCGTTTCTCAGAAGCCACACCGCTGCATCGTCGCTCTTTGATCGCTCATACCCGTTTCGTACTCATACAACGCACAACAGCATCCACTTTGCCATCATTCGCCACGAACAGCTACTGGTCGGTTCAGTGTTGTTAGACCAGGCCGATTTTTTCGCGCATGCGCGAAGTGCAGTAAGAAATCCTACCCATGGAGTAGAGTAGCATTGAATTGACGAATCAGGATAAAGAAATCATTGCTCCTTTTGTTCTGATTGGTCAATTAAACGCTACACAGATTAGAATTTTGAAACGCACTCCATAGTGCTAAATGCACTTAAGCCGGTATCGTACGCATTGAAAATTGGAATTTGAATAATCAGAAAAGGAACTAAAATTTCTTTGTCCTGATTGGTCAAATTTCAATCTTGAATCTTGTATCTCAATCTTCAATGCGTAGTCTGATACGGGCTTTATGGTTATGACTAAAATTGTTTTACGTACAATGGTTTTAGAACGAACCGACTTGCTCTGTATCTTTGCTGTCAAAACTTATTAAAGTATGCGTTATCAAAGTATCTGTGCGATAGTACAGCTGAGTATATAGATACATCTGTCATCGAAGTAATTAAATCTTACTTAATAAATATATGAATTTAGCATAAAAAATAAATGTATGTTCACATACACACACGATAAAAAATATGGTAAGTGTTTAAAATAACACGCTCTATTAAGATTTTAATAAAAATATTTGTAATCAATGCCTTTTTGCATAAAAACAAAGATTTGAAAATCGTCACTTGATAATGTGGAAAGTTATTAATAAGTTATTATTAAGTTATTAAGTGTTAAAGGTGTCACTTTTTAATTTTATGCTCATATCGCCAGAATCTCATCGATATGACAGATTTCCTAATCTTCAAAAGTGACATCTTTAATGCTTAATAACTTTTTACATTATCGAGCGATGATTTTTACTTGTCAAACTTTTGTTTTTATGCAAAAAGGCATCGATTAAATGAGTTTTTATCAAAATCTGTCTTATTCGAGTGGGTTCTTCTAGACAATTACCAAAATATAAATTGATGCACTTTATCTGACATCAAAATGAATGTTGTTACCGCTTTGAAGTTTTATATCACGAAAATGACAGAGGACAGTGGTCCTGGTATGAAAATTTTGCTAATGGATAAACAAACGGTAAGAATAAAAAATATTATAAATCGTCATCCACTGTGATTAGTCAATTTCTTAAGGCTTAGAGCTTAAATCACCTATTGTAGACTGGCACTTATGGTTATGACTAAAATTGTTTTACGTACAATGGCTTTAGAACGAACCGACTTGCTCTGTATCTTTGCTGTCAAAACTTATTAAAGTATGCGTTATCAAAGTATCTGTGCGATAGTACAGCTGAGTATATAGATACATCTGTCATCGAAGTAATTAAATCTTACTTAATAAATATATGAATTTAGCATAAAAAATAAATGTATGTTCACATACACACACGATAAAAAATATGGTAAGTGTTTAAAATAACACGCTCTATTAAGATTTTAATAAAAATATTTGTAATCAATGCCTTTTTGCATAAAAACAAAGATTTGAAAATCGTCACTTGATAATGTGGAAAGTTATTAATAAGTTATTATTAAGTTATTAAGTGTTAAAGGTGTCACTTTTTAATTTTATGCTCATATCGCCAGAATCTCATCGATATGACAGATTTCCTAATCTTCAAAAGTGACATCTTTAATGCTTAATAACTTTTTACATTATCGAGCGATGATTTTTACTTGTCAAACTTTTGTTTTTACGCAAAAAGGCATCGATTAAATGTATTTTTATCAAAATCTGTCTAATTCGAGTGGGTTCTTCTAGACAATTACCAAAATATAAATTGATGCACTTTATCTGACATCAAAATGAATGTTGTTACCGCTTTGAAGTTTTATATCACGAAAATGACAGAGGACAGTGGTCCTGGTATGAAAATTTTGCTAATGGATAAACAAACGGTAAGAATAAAAAATATTATAAATCGTCATCCACATATATGTATGTTTGAAAAAAATTTCATTTTTTTATTTTTAGACAAGTATAGTCAGCTTACTTTATAGTCAATCTGAGATATTAATGAAAGAAGTATATTTATTCGAACGAATAGATACTGCTGTACATAATGATACTTTAAAACATTTAACATGTATAGTATTTGTAAGACCAACTAAGGAAAATATCGACCTACTTTGTAAAGAGCTTAAATATCCTAAATATGGAGCATATTATATTTGTAAGTAATATCAATGTGAATATATAGAATTATATTTCTAATTATAGAAAACTCAGTAAATAAAATATTGTAGTGTAGAATAAGAAACAATAATTATTAATATTACTTATTTGTACTAGATTTCAGTAATATTATTGCAAAAGCAGATATAAAGCTTTTGGCAGAAAGCGACGAACGAGAAGTAGTTAGAGAAGTACATGAATACTATGCAGATTATCTAGCGATTAATCCACATTTATTTTCACTTGGAATAAATGCCTGTTCTGAAGGTATAATCCAATTTTATATCAATTCATGCGATAGATTAATAAACTATTAAATGAAAATTATTTTTTATAATTATGACTCAAGGACTTACATGGGATCCAGTGTATTTACATAGAACTGTTCAAGGAATAACTTCGGTTTTATTATCGCTAAAGAAATGTCCATATATTAGATATCAAAGTAGTTCTAATATGGCAAAGAGATTAGCAGAAAAAATAAGGGAAGTGCTCAGTAAAGAATCTAGCTCTTTTGAATTCAGACAAGAATCTAATCCTATCCTTCTGATAGTCGATAGAAGAGATGACCCTGTTACACCTTTGTTAAACCAATGGACATATCAAGCAATGGTACACGAACTGCTGACAATCAACAATAATCGCGTTAATTTATCTCATGTAAAAGGCATTTCAAAAGAATTGAAAGAAGTTGTTCTCAGTGCAGAACATGATGATTTTTATGCAAATGTAAGAAAATTCTTTATACAGTACTTTAATCATATATTCATATTAGAATTATTAACAGAAATAGTGATATGAATTAATAAAAATATTTTTGTATGCATGATATTTTGTAATTACATAATGACATATTTTACTTTTTGTGAAAATCTTTTTGTGTTAAAAGAATGTATTCTTTTAACAGAACTTGTATCTAAACTTTGGTGAAATTGGGCAAACGATAAAAGAATTGATGGAGGAATTTCAAAAGAAAGCAAAAAAGCATCAAAAAGTTGAAAGTATTGCCGACATGAAGCACTTTGTAGAAACATATCCACTTTTCAAGAAACTTTCTGGCACTGTATCGAAACATGTTACGGTAGTTGGAGAACTTTCGTCTCTTGTCGAAAAGCATAATTTATTAGAAGTATCAGAACTGGAACAGGAACTGAGTTGCCAAACTGATCATTCCTCGCAGGTAATTTATTGATATCTATAACGTATTCTACATTTATATATATTTGTTAATTTTTCTATTTATAGTTGCAAAAAATAAAAGCACTTATCAATAATCAAAAAGTACGAGATATCGATACCGTTCGGCTTGTTATGCTTTATGCACTCCATTATGAAAAATATGCGAGCAATGACATAAATGGTTTAGTAGAATTACTTAAAAAGAGGAATGTTTCAGACAAATATATCAAGGTATTTTTCCTATTGTAAGATTTATATTTTTATAAAAATATATGTATGTAATATTCAAATATCATTTCCAGCTTGTATATAATATATTAGAGTATAGCGGTGTTAATACAAGACAGAATAATTTATTTGATCGAGAAGCAGTTGCCAAAATAACTAAAAAACTATTCAAAGGATTAAGTGGGGTAGATAATATATACACGCAGCATTGTCCTTTAATAAGTGAAACGTTAGAGGACTTAATAAAAGGAAAATTAAGCACACAAGCATTTCCATATCTTGGTAATATGATAATGTCACGAAGGTAAATTATTTATATATTAAATAGAAATGTATGTGCCATATATTAAACATCAATTAGTACATGATTATTCTATCTTTAGACCTCAAGATATAATAGTATTCATAATCGGAGGTGCTACTTATGAAGAAAGTCTGGCTGTTTATAATTTAAATAAGCAAAATCCGGGAATAAAGATTATTCTAGGTGGTACCACTATCCACAATTTTAAAAGCTTTGCGGAAGAAGTACACCATGCTACTAGCGGCATATTAATGCGATATAAAATTGGAAAAAATTAAGAATGTTGAGAAATATCATCATATATCCCAAAATATTTATTCCATATATATTTTGGTATCTATACATCATATAATATCCTTTTCTCTCTTCTCACGAATATAGTGTTCCACACCAAGAATTTCCAACAGAAATTATTGTAACACATTACACGAAATAAGATGTACTCTCTTTCTTTTGCAGTTACATATTTCCTATTTTTATCATGAAAACATAATTTCCTTTTTGCTAACTGTTATTCATCTTCCTCATCATCCAATATATATTCTGCCGACATATCTGAGATTTCGTCATCCTGTACTGGTACCTTTAACAAACATGTATTATTTTAATTAATATCGCAAAGAACATAGAAAGATATGATGTATTAATTGTTAAATTCGTCTTTTCATCTATACATTTGTTTTTAAATATGTAAGTTCAGTGTCATTTTTTATAGCAATTTCTTAATTATCTTGATAATATATATTATTTCTACATTATCTTGTGATATATATTTATTATATACAGGATGCTAAATTTTAAACGTAATAGGCCTAATATCTCGATAACCAAATGAAATATCAAGGTCCGGTTTTTTTTAGGTTGTATTGTTTCGAGGGTTTCGAGGCGGACAAATTTTGATAAAAAGAATTTGACTTTGGACGGACGTGTCAAAAAAAAACCAGACCTCGATATTTCATTTAGTTATCGAGATATTCGGCCTGTTACGTTTGAAATTTAGCACCCTGTACTTTTATTAAACTTTATGAAAATTTTGTTAAAATAAACTCCATTTAAAGCTAAATAAAAAATAAAATCTTTTTTCATCTCTAAAATTTAATACATTCTTAATTGCTTATTACTTAATTATTATCAATCTTATTCTAAATTATTTATATTGTTTCATGTTTGATGTTGATGTATACCATGATATAAAAAAAATTAATGGGCATTAAATATAATTGAATGTTTTTATCGAGTGTATCAGTAAAGTTTTTATATCACTTCTCTCTGAGATATTTTGCATATATAACTCTATGTGTATCTCTATATTATTATATATAACTATTTACATAGGAATATAATTTATCCATTTTCAAACACACAAGCTAAATACAAATGAGCTACTTATAAATAACTGATTGTGCATATGTATGTGTGTGTAAGTAAATAAACTTATAATAATGCAATGAAAATATGTAATGAAAAGCAAAAATAATGTATAAAGTAATGTATTATGTGTATAAAAGTTGATATTAATTGGTTAATTTCCATATATAAAAATATGTTATCAACGTGCAGCTAATACTCACGTCTCCTTTTCTTCTTAGGAACCTTAATAAATTTTCTGCTTCTTAATAAATATATTAGCACCTACAAATAAAGCTATTTGTAGCTTCAATGTCAATATTTGCATTATTTTATCTTTAGAAAGATCTATGTAAAAAATGTAATTCTAACATGAAGCAACTTTGTTTTTTATATTACAAATATATTTTTCATTTAATTATTGCATTTTGCTATGTATGAAATATATTAATACAATCCAATGCTAAAATAAATACATAGAAATAATCATTATATAGATATTTCGTTTTTTGCAACGAATTTTACTAAATCTATTTTTTTAGGCAAATAAATAAAGTTTGTATCAAGATAGATGTAGATAATTCAATTATGATAAAAAAAAAATATATATATATATATATAAAGAATGTACCAATAAAAAAATAGAGAAACCAATTAATATCTAACAAAACTTTATACTTGTAAGAATAATTCTTTGTTTCTATTTTTGTCTATGTCTTTGTCTACTATTCTCTGTCTTACAAGGGAACTTCGCGAACCCGAAAATTCTGATTCTGATGAAACTTTACAGACATGTAGCAGATATCAAAAATGTTTTATACAAAAGTTTTATGGTAAAAACAATTCTATTTAACCATATTAATAATAAAATTTGAAAAAATAATTTTTTTTTAATTTTTTCAGAAATCTTTTTAAACAATAATATGGTTAAATAGAGCTGCTTTTATCATAAAACTTTTGTATAAAACATTTTTTGATATCTCAGATAGTTTTCGAGCTATATTGAGAAAAGCAAAAAGCCGCTCTACATACGAGGGGTGCTTCCCTTAGAACCGTTTTTGGGCCGCAACTGCAAATTTCTAAATTTATCTATTGACTCCTCTCCCCCTACATGTCTGTAAAGTTTCATTAAAATCAGAATTTTCGAGTTCGCGAGGTTCCCTTGTTAGTCTTAATAAACAAAAAGAAAGATTCTGAGAATATTAAACTATACAGACACATTATATGTGCAATGGTATATATTTTATCAAACTTTCTTTTTCTGTATAAAAAAAGGAACTTACCTCTACAATACCAGTAGATAACGCATATCCTGCCATTGCCAATATAGCAACAAATGCAGCAAAAATTTGATTCCTTCTTTTATTTGGAAATTCGCAATCGCTATCTTCTCCTAATTTTTCAGCGTTTTTTTCAGCTTTATCCTTTTCATAACTCTGATATTCATACTCGAAATACCTTTGTGATATACGCGACACATACTTCACTAGATTTGTGCAATTCTTCAAATGATTTTGTAGAATTGGATTTGGTAATGGTGCCTTGAGTAACGGTGCTAAATACGAATACACAATGGCGTCTATCGCGCTAGGTTGTTGTCCAAAAAAAAAATCTCCATCTCCAAGTCTTATAGATAATAATGTCAAACATTTTTGTGCTTCTGAATATACCTATTGGTACATAAAATTTTAAAATTAATGTAGAAAATATTAGAAATTTTTGTGCTTAAATTATATCTTTTCTATTTATAGAAATACTTAAGAACACATTTAAAAAGTTTCAAGTTATTTTATATGTTATATATATATACCTCATTTTCGATAATATCTATGTTATCTTCCATAGAATATAAACTTTGCATCAAGATGTGTGCTTGCCGTTCGAACTTTCCTGGGTAATAGAATTTAAATGGAAAGGGCAATGCTTTGCAATACCATGGTCTAATTAATTCATCTAGATTTTTTTTATCTATCCACCTAAAAATAATTGTAATAATAGTACATTCTGTGTTGTGATATATTTGCTATAAAAAATATAAAAAATAATAATGAGATGCATTTATCAGAAAAATGATAACTACAATAAAATATACTTGTTAATTATCTATCAAGCTACTAATATCATTTTTGCAAAATTATAGAACTAAATAAACATGTACGCATTGATCAGAATAATGTACAATTTATATTTAAGTGGACATTTTAATATTATTTATGCTGAAGTATTTAATAAATAATTCAAATAATTTATTTATTTAAACAACAATAATGGTATATAAATCAAACATATAACTCTAAGAGATAATCAGTCATTTGCATTTTATGCTTTACTTTGCATGTTGCTCAGAAAACTGATTTTTTTAGATAAGACCTGAAATTGCAAATAGTTTTTAATTGACAACATTTAGATAATACAAAAACCATCTTGCTAACATTTTAAAAGCAAAAGGCAAAAGAATTTTCGACAATATTGACAAATAAGGAAGTTAATTTTTTAACCAATTTAACTAGCAGATAAAATTTTCAAATACTTTCCATCATAAATGACTATTTAATACAGTATTGATTTTTTATCATTTAAATTTCATATAAATCATATTATAAATTGCATATCATTCTAGGTACATTTATATACATTTCAGTACATCTCATACCATATAAATTGCAAGGCTGGATACAACTTTTCCTTAAGCAGAGCATCATATGCCGTGACGTCTGCACATTGCTTATCAGTTAATGTATAGTCAGAATTATAATGTGTTTCTCTAAAAAATGGCAATATATCTTTAACTGTATCCAAAGTATTTAGACCAGCCCTAAGCAATGGTAATCGACCATTTGGGGTTTTAAATGGATTGCTTGATAGATTTATTTTCAAAGGTACTCCACTGAATTTAGCATATGCCTATAAATAACATGATACTACATATATTAAGAAACAAATACTGTTATTTCATTATAAATTAATCATTAAGACATGCAATATAAGTATTTAATAGCAAAACAATTGTAATATTTGATAGTAAATACATTATTATAATTCAGATAGCTAAAATTGAGACAAAATGACTGCGCCAACACCTAATGTTTTATAAATAGACTTGGATAATATAATTAATATACAGTGAGGCAGACAAAAGTTTATGATAAACTTTAATTTTTCTCTCACTTTTACTTCACTGGTATAACATCCAGTCGATAGTTTAAGCATCTCTGTATGTTCCATATATTATTTTTAAATATCTCTCAAAACTAATAGGTATCCTCTTAACATCTTCAGTCAATTTAAAGATAATTTTCCCTCGATAAAAATATCGAAAGAGATCATCATTTATCGCTTTTTATTATTGCATATCTTTGTATGTATATAATTAAATTTCAAATTAAAATTCTATTCTAAAATTTACTTAAAATTTTTTATCTGAAAGAATCATCAAATGATTGAAATTGTATAAATTAAAATCATTCTGTTATATCAATTTTCTCTCTCAACATTTTTAATTTGTTAGAAATTCCCTTATTTCCATCAGTTAATCGCTGGAAAGCTGTAGATACCTCGATATTTGAGAGAAAATAGATTCTTAATTAACCAGAGAATCTATAGCAATATTTGATGATCTTGGAAAATTCTAGATATTCACCGCTTTAATACCGAGCGAATTTTTTCTATCATATAAAAATTATTGTCATAAATTAATCGTTAATCGGCTAGCCCATGTGCGTGTCATAACCCGTACATACCAGGACTTGCAAACACTCTATATCGACTGACGGAAGACCCCAGTCACCTTTCCATATATCCAATTGCAATATCTCAGCATTAGCCATTTCCGAAAACTTGCATCGCCAGCAAAATATCGCGTGTCCACTCAATAATACTTAGCACATAACTATGTAATCTTTTGGTAAACAATGTAACATCATGCCACCATGCTGCACATTGTACATACACAGGTTAGATTAGTTTTATAAAGACCTATTCACATGAACGGTGATAAAGCAAATGCACACAGAAAACAAGAAATTTGACCAAAAAGAGTAAAGATTACTTTGTCCTGATTGGTTAATCAAATGCTACTTTTTCGAATAAAATCTATGTGGATAGACCTTTAAGAATATATGCCCGTGACCCGTGTATTATCTATATCTATAATAATGATTACTTATGCGCGCGCGAACATGTATAATATATATGTATATATATTATACATATAAAGAGTATTTTACATTTATATTCAATTGATCATAAATTAGTAAGAGTGACGAATGGAAAATGTTATGTAATTGTTATCATGAGTAATGTAGATTTTTAGAATTTGCAAAAAGAAAAGGAGTGGTAATTGATAATGACTAGACATTTGTCTTCATCACATTGCTATGATAAAATGTCTAACATACTCACACCTTTTGTATATTGGGCCCAAACGGAGAATCAAATCACATTAAAAGTGGACCTGACTGATGTAAAGGTACAACATATATATACTGAATATATCTAGAAGAGAAGGAACCTATATTTTTTTAATTTTATAAATATAATATTTACCTCTCTCACTCAAAAAATATTTGCAAAAATCATTTTAATCTATTTGTTATAGGATTTTAATATTGATCTAAAGGAAACTACATTGCAAGTTACAGCCTATGGCCAGGGAGCAAGAGGCCTGAATAATTACAGCTTTAATCTGAATCTTCATTCGCCTATTGACCCAAATGTAATAACAAGTTTATAAATTAATTTTTGTATATATTTATATAATATAAATATTAAATTAAAAATGTGCTTTGTATGTAATACTATAGGAGAGTAATTACAAAGTAATTGATCGTCAAATAGACTTTGTCTTGAAAAAGAAATGTAGCAGTTGGTGGCCAAGATTAATAAGTCAACCACAAAAGCCTTCATGGCTTAAGATTGATTTTGATAAATGGAAAAGCGAGGATATGGATGACAATGATGATGAAAAGCGTGACATTTGTAATGATTATCCTGACATGTATGATAAACTGCACAAAGAAGAATTTGGCTATAGAAAAGGTATATATTGAAAATTATATATTATAATAATATTATAACATTGATATATCTCACATTATTCTTTCAGAGGATCTCACAAAGGTGTATCTAGTGATATATAATCTCTGTCAATTTGTTGGCTTTATTTATGTACTTGCTATAATGGGTATACGATACTCACGAGATGGGCCAGGTACATTCACATCTACATTTTTAAAATACTTTCATTCTTTTGGTACAAGAGAAACAAACACTCGAAATTTCATTAGAGCTTTTTTAGCAAGAGTTCTTTGTATGCATTCAAATTTATAATAGCATAAAAAATATTTTAGAAACAGATTATCTTAAAATACAAAATATATGTTTTTTAGATTTCATGAAAGAAACATATGCAGCAGTTGGCAGTCCACTCAAGTTTATACAACTTTTACAATTTTTAGAGGTAATGCATCCTCTATTTGGATATACAAAAAGTAGCACACTTGTATCCTTTTTACAAGTGGGAGGTAGGGGGTTTGTGTTGTTTTTTATGATTGATGCCGAGCCTCGTATGCAAACTAAACCAGTCGTTTTCTATCTATTTCTAATATGGAGCATAATAGAGATAGTCAGATATCCATACTATATTACACAGTTATTAAATATTGAAATATCGTTTTTAACATGGTTGAGATACACCCTATGGATACCGTTATACCCATTAGGTTTTGTATGCGAGGGTATCATAATATTGCGGAATATTCCGTATTTTGAGGAAACTCAGAAATTCACAGTTTCCTTACCGAATACATATAATTTCGCTCTTCACTTCCCGTCTGTTATGAGACTTTATTTACTTCTATTACTCTTGCCTGGAATATATACGATAATGTCCCGTATGAATCAATTACGCTCTAGAAAACTTGGAAAATCTACTATTAAGAGAAAATACAAATGATTTGCAATGTAATTTCAAGCTCATTTTCTATATTCTTCATTTTATCTCTGTAATTACTCTTATACAAAAGATTGATAAAAAGAGGTGGAGTGATAGTGAGATGGCAAGTATAATATTATAGCAACTCTGCTTTAACATATACAGTTTTTTAAATAATACTGTAATTTTGTATAGATGTGTTTTATATTATTTTTGATTGTATAGCATTTTTTTTAAGAACAAAGTTATATTAAATCTGCATTAGCTGCCTAAGCTGATTTAGCTGATTTTATTTTATGATTCTGCATTCATTACTTAATATATATATTTTAAATAAAAAGAGCAATATCAAAGTTAATATTAAGACATTGATTTTTTGCATGTCTTGAATACAAATACTATATATGAAAAAATAGAATAAATCATGTAAATAAGACAAATATTGTAAAATCTCGTTGAATACAATATAACTACAATGCAATACATAATTGATATAGAATATAGGTTTATAGGAACTGTCTTGAAAAGATAAAAATGATGTGCAGTTCGTTGCTTATAACATAGAAAATATATAATTTTATTTTCACTATCTATAAAAAAAAAAAAATACATAATATAGAGAAAAAGCATAAGCACATGTAATAATTCCCTTTTCAAATATCATACATACAAACGATATCGATATTCTTGCTTGACATATATCGATATTCGTTACGGTTTACGATTCTAGAGTTTCTAAGCGACTTCGGTCACAGATTAATAGACAGATAGCCAAAGGCCACCGGAAATAAGTTGGCGCTGGAAGTTCATATTTTTTAATAATTTATAGCTCAAACGATTGCTCCTTAATTGCTCCGTCAGAATCCACAATTGCTCCCCTTTTAAAATTAGTAGTTTTCGAAATATTTACAAAAAACGTAAAACTTATCATTTTCACTCAAAAACATATTTCCAATAGTTTTCTGCAACTATATCCAGCATAAAACGATTGCTCCTTAATTGCTCCATATTGCTCCATCATTATTTTCATGATTTATTGCATTTTTTAACGAAAATTAACAAATTAATAATTTTCCAAGCGACGCCGTCGCCACCTATCGGCCGCCTATCGGAACTATATAGCTCAGAAGCCAACGGCGAGAATTTTCAAACATAATATAACATAAAACGATTGCTCCTTAATTGCTTCGCATTGCTCCATCATTATTTTCATAATTTATTGCATTTTTCATCGAAAATTAACAAATTAATAATTTCCCTAGCGACACCGTTGTCACCTATCGGCCGCCTATCGGAACTATATAGCTCAGAAGCCAACGGCGAGAATTTTCAAACATAATATAACATAAAACGATTGCTCCTTAATTGCTTCGCATTGCTCCATCATTATTTTCATGATTTATTGCATTTTTCATCGAAAATTAACAAATTAATAATTTCCCTAGCGACACCGTTGTCACCTATCGGCCGCCTATCGGAACTATATAGCTCAGAAGCCAACGGCGAGAATTTTCGTAAATAAATAAATTTATTTATTTTTATTTTATATAACAAAAATGAGATATACAATATTCTCTTCGCAACGTCTTAAGACTCGCTAGAAAAACTTTAGCATTTTTTTCGGCGAATGCTTGAGAAGTGTACGCTCTCGCTTTAATATGAGCTGTTATTCTAAACTCGGCGTAATTTTTGCGTAGAAGTTGCGTAAATTTTGCGTAAAAGCGGCGTACTTTCGGCGTAAAAGCGGCGTAACCTCGGCGTAATTTTGGCGTACAAGTTGTGTAAAAATGGCGTAATTTCGGCGTAAAAGCGGCGTAATTTCGGCATTACGCTAAAGTTACGCAACAATTACGCCAAGTTTACGAAACTTTTACGCCAAAGTTACGCCGAAGTTACGCCGCTTTTACGCCAGATTAACGCAACAGTTACGAAAAAATTATGCTAAAGTTACGCCAAATTTACGCAACAGTTACGCCAAATTTACGAAACTTTTACGCCAAAGTTACGCCGAAGTTACGCAACAGTTACGCCGAAGTTACGCCAAATTTACGCAACTTGTACGCCAAAATAGATCATTTATTTAATAAAAGATTAATATATCACGGAGCTTGTCGTTATGTTAATTATTCGGATTTGCGATTTGACTATATCATTGCGCATTTTCAATCCCGATCATATATTTAAATCGTCGAAAAGTCAAACGAATAAGAACCGGACGATACTTTAAGTATTTTTAAGGAAATAATTATTGGTTATAAAAAGAAAAAAAATCGCGAAAATAGAATTTGAGGCAGCATGTCGCACTGCTACTTTACTACTCGAGTGTCACCGTGCAAATGGTAACACGTAGGAAAGAGATTTGAGAGTCTCATTGATCGACATATAGAATAGACTGCTGTCAACTTTTCAAAATTTTGGACAACTATGCGCCATTACGTTATAGCTTGGATGTTTGGCAGGACGCAATTATGAACATTTAATTCTTATTCTTTTATTATTTTTGTATGCATCGTAATGTTTGTTATCAGATAGAAAAGAATGCGTCACACTTTTAAATTGACAATTTTAGCGCTCACGCACACTACCAGGCGCGCGGCTAAAGGTCGGCGCTCATTGGCCAGACTTTACTCAATAATAACTCCTTTAATAAGCAATATAGAAAAAAATGTTATAGGACTTTCCTATTGAGTTTACTGTGATCTACCTGCTCACGAGCGTTGTCAAGGGTGGTTTGGGAAACCCTGTGTGGCGGATAACCACCACAAAAGCACGGGCGCGCGGAACCAAATTTTTACGTCGAATTTACGCCGCTTTTACGCTGAAATTACGCCGAAGTTACGCCGCTTTTACACCAAAATTACGCAACAGTTACGCCAAAATTACACCAAAATTACGCAGCAGTCACGCCAAAATTACGCCAAATTTACGCAACAGTTACGCAAAAATTACGCCGAAGTTACGCCGAAGCTACGCTAAATTTACGCAACAGTTACGCCAAATTTACGAAACTTTTACGCCAAAGTTACGCCGAAGTTACGCAACAGTTACGCCGAAGTTACGCCAAATTTACGCAACTTGTACGCCAAAGTTACGCCGAAGTTACGCCGAAGTTACGCCGAAGTTACGCCAGATTTACGCAACAGTTACGCCAAAATTACGCCAAATTTGCGCGACTTGTACGTCAAAATTACGCCAAAATTACTCCGCTTTTGCACGGAGATTACGCCGAGATCACGCCGAAATTACGCCGCTTTTACGCCGCTTTTACGCCGGGATTACGCAACTTTTACGCCAAAATTACTCCGAAATTACGCCGCTTTTACGCCAAAATTACGCCGCGGTAAATATTACTTTTGACTTCGAAAATTTATTACCATCGTATTAACGACGCGATTTTACTTTGGGAACGTAATTACTGCTTTGGCCACTACTACGGTATAGCGCTGAAACCAGTGAGAAATACCGATCTCGCCTTCATCCGGGCCTTTGGCTATCTGTCTATTAATCTGTGCTTCGGTCCGGTTTGTAAGCACAAGCACATTGCTTGTGAAATTAATTTCCTACAATTTTATATTTGATTGATTTTTTATGCAACACATACGATTTATTCCATCTAGTTGAGACATGTGAAATAAATAATATTTAATATTTAGATTTCAACAAAGTCTTTCATATAATTTTAATTAATGTGTTATACGATAAATTTTCTAACCATTAAATATACGGAATTCAGTTATGTGACGTGATACACAATAAACATAATAAACGATATATATTTTTATCTAAATCTAAATTATTAAAAATGTATCCTATGGATTTGACAAAGACGATTCCATCGGATAGTGAAAATAAAAATGTGTTCCTGAATGACGCCGAGTTAGACAAAATCGCTCTATTTCTTGTTGGGAATCAACAACGTTTTAGAGAAAATATCATAATTCCCAGAATGCTGGGACCTGTACAAATAAAAACGATTGAAGAGAAAAGGATAGAAAGTGTAATGGAAAGTTGTGCATTTAAAAGCACCATGAGTTGTGTCATTGGTATATTCTACCATTCTATTCTATATATGTATATAATATATGTAAATGTATTGAACACAGGCAGATTTTACACGATATTAAACGATAGAAAGTACAAAAATATTAAAAATATATTGCACTAATTAAAGCATCCATTTGTTTAGGCTATGGCTTAGGAGCAGCTATTGGACTATTCTCTTCTAGTGTAAATCCTAATGTAGCGAGTGTTGAAAAGCAACAAAGCGCACGAGAAATATTAAAAGAGATGAAAAGTACAACACTTAGTTATGCAAAAAACTTTGCAGTTGTTGGATGCATATTTTCTGCCATTGAATGCACGATAGAATCGGTAATTCAATTACCTAAATATTTGTTAAGAGGATCTTATTTTCATATATAATAATAATTTATTGTTTTGCCTGGTTATGCATATCTTGATGTAAAAATTGTTAATTAATTTCAGTATAGAGGTAAAACTGATTGGAAAAATGGTACATATGCAGGTGGCTTAACAGGTGGACTAATTGGCTTAAGGGGTATGATATTAGTACATTATAAATTATTTTTTTATGTATTCCATTTAATTATTAAGCTACTTAATTCCCTATCATTCTTTATAGCTGGTATAAAAGCAGGTATAGTTGGTGCTGCAGGTTTTGCAGCATTCTCAACAGCGATAGACTATTACATGCATAGATCTTAAATTACACAATTTAAATTGGTTAGAATATATATATATATATTTGTATAAAAGATATAAAAATTTGTGTGTGGGTAGTTATGTATCTGTACAAAATTTGTAAAAACACGGAAATGTTTCAAATGTAAAAATGGTCATAAAACTAGTATTATGTGACTGAAGGATTGCAGGTGTAAAATATATTGTTTTTAATATTAATTTTTACTGCCTAATATATTAATATTTGCTCAAAATTATATGAAAGTTTTCCTATGTATGATCACATTTCACATGTTTCGTTGTTTATATTGTATGAAACAATTTGCATAACACTTATATGCAATACACATAGAAGATTACAAAACCTTAAGTCACATTCATCTTAAACATTATGTTTTTTACTTCTATCGACATACTGATAATATGGATATCTAGAAATACATCTATCTTCTTTCTCTTTATTATTCACATATGTTTTATGTGATTCGTACAAGAACTTAAAAAAAAAAAGTTAAAAATATTCAACCAAGAAACAAAATATATATAGATTAAGTATATAAATATATTTAAAATTAACTTTGGATTCTTCTCAAAGTGGTTTTGCACATTTATACTTCTTTGTTTCTAGATCAGTTAATCTTAATAATTAAACAGTACAAGATTGCCTCACTTGAAATAAAAAGGTGAAATATTTCAACATATTTCTATGATTTGACAGAACTGTTTTTGAGAGCTGTGTCAACCTTTTAAAACTTAGATCAATGTTAATAAGTTTTTACATCAATATGGAGATTCCTTATTTAATATTAGCACGGTATATGTCTTATCATAAAATATTTATTATGAATATATTGCTCAATTATGGAAATAATGATTTTTTTTTTCTTATTCTGCAAGTATCTATAACAAATCATTCATGGTTTCCAACAAATAAATTACATATTTATGCAATATAAAAAAATTTTCATTCCTTATGTATGTGTTTATATGTTAATATTAAAACCATGATAGTGACAAAAATTGCAAGGCACTTTTCACATTCTGTTTTTTTTTCGTTTCATTACATAATTATTTTTTACCTGAGATAAAATTCTTACTATGTTATATATACATATATAGAATGTTTGATATTTTTTTTCTTTCAATAAAAGATATATAGTTAAAGTATAGAAAAATGCTCTCCTTCCCACATCTGAAAATATTGTAAATAAAGTTATTAAAACTCTTAGTCATATTTTATATACTAGACACTTGCATTCATAATCTTAATTTTGCAATCTTGATCATTGGTCTTGTTTTATGTTTCCTTTTAATAAAATCTTTTTTAAATCTCCTTATTACACATAAGCATAAATTTATGATATGAATAAAATTTTGAACAGTGCCATCAATTAAAAAAGAATAAAACAAAAGTCATATAAGAAATTAATAAACTGTGCAGACCCAAATTTTACAAATAGATTCCCAGTTTTTAAGATTTTATAAATAGTGCAATTCTTCAAGTATCCAAATAAATTTTGTTAAGACAGATTGATAAGAATAAGCTATTAAAGTGTTTTTCCTGCCAACCTTATATATGCAAACATTCGTTTCATACTGTTACAATTTCAAATCGATTTTGTTATTTGTTCTGAACAGGACATTGATAGCTAATAAATATCAAGAATTCTTTCTTTCATACAATGCACACAATTCTGGAAAAGTTATATCAAAGAGAGATTCCATTATTTTTTATATTCTTATGAAATGTCTATAAAACGCGTAATGTGTATATCAAAATGAGATTATTCTTATGAAGATAAATCTAGAAAAATAATACCAAATCAATACCTTGATCATGTAAGTTACTAAAAAAGTTTTATAAATCTTTTTGGCACTCGTAACAGTGAAAAGTCACTTTCTTCACATATCAGTATAGAAATGCATGTTTGATCAAGGTTGTTGTTGTTGCATCTGTGCTTGCATCACAGCCAGCAATTCCTGCATATGTCGTATTTCTGCTTCCTTTTCTTGCAAAATGCGATCCTTTTCTGACACCGTGCTGTTCTTGTCGGATTCAGCAAGGCTGTAAATAAAGGGAAGAAAGTTGAATATCATGCAAGCGTAAAACTAGTAATAAAACGAAATATTGCACTTACGTTTGACGTCGAGGCGGTACTGGAGCTCCCTTTGCCAATCTTTCGCTACGGTAATTTTCATAATGTACCTCTTGCGTTACTTCCTGTAAATCTTGCATATGTGTACTATAAAAAGATAGAATATCATTAGAACTATATATACATCACAGCATTATGTAATTATAATAATAAAAGAAGACAACTTACATAAGCATCGTCCTTAATTTGATGAAATCGCAATGATCGGGATTTTCCACTTCAACAACACCCCACGAATACACTCGACCTCGTACTCTTTTTCCTTTGACCTCAATTAAACTATTTGCACCACATACTGCAAATGGAACAGCCTCTTTTAATTGACGTACTTGTTCTTTGTAATCCTCATCCTCATCACTATCACAGTCTGGTAAAGGATATATTTTGATTCCACTGCCTTCAATCTCTTCCATAACTCTTTTTTTCAGACGCAGGACTTCCTTTTTGGTAAGTACATCAGCTTTTGCTATTACAGGTACTATATTAACTTTGTTATGAAGTTGCTTCATAAATTCAATGTCTAATGGCTTCAATCTAAAAAAAGAGTACAAAATTAGAGAAAGAAAAGAGATTATAAATTTATAGTATAAATTTCATATAAAAAATAAGCAGAAACTAACTTGTTTAAAAAATAAATCTTAATTACAGATTTTATTGTGTCTATTTTTAACTCTAAATAATTAATATTACAAGATAATAATTCATACCCATGGCCAAATGGGGAAATAAAATAAAAACAACAATGTATTCTGTTATCTACAATGTTCCTTCTGTTTAAGCCACTTTCGTCACGAAGAAATCTTTCAAATTGATCATCTATGTATTGAATGATAGCTCTAAAACTATCTGTGTTGTCGATTGCATCTCCATAACCAGGTGTATCAACAACTGTTAATCTAAGTTTAACACCTCTTTCTTCAATCTCGACTGTTGAAGCATCAAGTTTGACAGTTTGATTGGTTTTCTCTGTTTAACAATAAATGCAATGAATATTTTAATTCCCTAACAACACACACATTCAAAAGTCTAGACGACATCTAGAGAATATAAAACATCCTATTGTCATGTTTTATATCCTTTGGATATCCTCTATATATTTTTTAAATGTGTGTGTTAGGGTTATATATACAGCCGTTTGAAAATTATATACTTTAATGTTATATATCCAAAATTTAAAAAAAGGAAGAGCTATCAGAATAATAATTCACTTACCCACTGCATCAGGAATTATTCGTTCAGGATACAAATCCGTAAGGAACAAACTATTTACCAAAGTGGATTTTCCAAGACCAGATTCTCCAACAACCATAAGTGTAAACTCAAAACCTTTTTTCACAGATTTCCGATGGACTTGATTAGGTAAATTTGCAAACCCCACATATCCAGGTGTCTCAAGACTTGCAAACTTGGAAAAAGGAAGACATATATTTCAGAATTACAATTACTGGAAGCGGAAAATAAGTATGTGTATTCTAAAATCTTTTTCACATAACATTTTTCATCAAAGCAAAAAATATACATAAATATTTATATTTATGCTTGCTAAAAGCAAATAAATACTAGACGAATATAAATTATCTAATTCGTGTCTGTCTGTTTAAAGATGAAAAATAAGAATATTGAACACATTTAAATAGTAGCAATGTAGCATATGTATCATGAACACAAAATATTTTACACTTACTGTTTTTACGCTCTCGCTCGACATGCCGAATGTATCTAACAAATTCACCCTGTGTTTCTCTTTACAAAATTCCGAGCAATTCGGCTCAATTTCAAGACTAATGGACGTCGCGTTAAAAATGACAGAATACGATACAAAGAATATATGTCCACGAAAAAAAGGTTACTTCAGTTAAAGATATTCCGCTTCGATCAGCATATTGTTCACGTACGAAAGTTTTGCTCGATACGTAGCGTTTCTCAGAAATATAATCGCACTATAGTAGCTACTGAAAGCTTTGTACTTTTGTACAGTCGTATTGTAGTCGAATTTGACGAATAATGGAAAATTCCCTTGCGAATTTTGGAAGCGGATGCAGAATATACCATACACACACTATACACAGGATACAGCGTTACATTAGACAGGGAGGATATGAGTGCGAGGGGGTGGAGAGGACATTATGAATTGGAGTAAGTTAAGGCGTGGCAACCCAATAGCTGAATGCTATTCCGTTATGCGCCCGCAAAAAGAAAAGTGTAATACAATTTTATCAAATTTTATATTTGTAATATTATAATCGATTAAATCGATAATGGTGCATTTAGTTTTACACATTAATACAAAAACTTGATATAAAATAAGATAAAAAAATATTTAAATTGCATAATATTAATTACAAATATAAAATCACAATTATAAAAAAAATATTAATTACAATATATATATATATATTTC